ATATAGTATATATATATATATATATATATATATATATATATATATATATATATATATATATATATATATATATATATATATATATATATATATATATATATATATATATATATATATATATATATATTTATATATATATATGTATATATGTATATTTATAAATATACATGCGTGTGTGCGTTTAAGTATTTGTGTATATACACATCCAGTGAAGCATGTATGTACGTCATTAGCGTGTACTCTAGACAGGGCGGGCAATGAGAAAGTTTTCATCACTTCAGTGGCCTCATGTCAGACTAGTAAGATTTATTAACAGCCTTGTCTTTTGGATTGAAACTGGACTATTTTTGACAACTGGTAGTGTGCTCTAGGGCGAATCATGCGCTATCATCTCTCTCGGTCGTAATGTCAGCATTCATATATCAGACTTCAGTACGTGTATGGGTTTAATAGACTGTGTATCATTGAGGCGTATTCCAAGATGAACCATGCCCTGCGCAGACACGCTGGGCCAGTTCGTGCTGGTAGTCGGCGAGCGTTGTATATTCCTGTTGGTATGTCCGTTCAAGATCAAGTGAGTGTCGCGCGGAGATACATGAACAAGGCGGAATACACATTGTTAAGCTTCAGAACCGGAAGCTTGTGTGCAATGACTTCTGGCTGGATTATGATGGCGTATGAAACAGTCGAGCTGTTGTGCACTCAGTGCAAACCATCACCATTGAGCTCGCTGCTCTCACTCGCCAGAAGTATAACCCATTTTCAATCCACGAGCGTGACTATCGCCGCTGTCTCCCACGATTATAAATGCACGACAATCAGTTTCGTATGCGCTATTGCGATAAGAAGTAGAGATTATGCCGATTAAACACAGCGGCCTTCGCAAAACTGTCTATTTACTAGCTCAATAAAGTCGTATACATACCGCTCAGGCTAAATGTAGATGGTATGCGTAGTTTCATCCACACACGCTTGTAGTGTTGACCTCAATCGATTTGGATCACCGCGAATCTGTTGTGTATACAGAAGGAACAGGTTAATGCTCATCGGCAACTTCGATATCGCTGTGTCAAAGTTGCTGTCTCTGATCCACAGACGTCGAATATTATCAAAACCGTGCAATTAGACGATGCATCCTAGTACGCTGTCTACACTCATAACTCTTGCCGAATTGCATGGTGGGTTCTCAATATGGTCTGAATATCTTGGACGATGCTTCCCAATTCTCAGTCTACACTCATAATTAATTAGATGTGCATCCTAATATTCTGTCTACACTCATAATTAATTAAAAGATGCATCCCAATACTTTGTCTGCATTCATAATTAATTAGGCGATACATCCCAATACTCAGTCAACACATAATCAACTAGAAGATGCGTCCCAATACTCTGTCTACACATAATTAACTAGAAGATGCATCCCAATACTCTGTCTACACATAATTACCTAGAAGATGCATCCAATACTCTGTCTACACTCATAATTAGTTTGACGATGCATCCCAAAACACTGTCTGCACTCGACCAATTAGACAATATATCCCTATACTCAGATGCATCCACTCGTAATTCTTGGTGGCATACTGATAGGTTCTCAATATTGTTTAGATATCTTCGACAAGATGCCACTTGGTGGCTCCATTACAGCGTACCTATAAAGTGCATATAGTCCATTGTGCATGATTGACAGACAGGCGCCGGTGTGTGTGCAACAGACGCAAATGCTAGCATATTTTGCAAGAAGAGCGATGCCGTACGGTTCTGTAGTTTGGGTATCATCAGTGGCTACAGAACTTCTACTGTCATGGGCCATTATAGGCGCCGTCTATATTCATAGATCGTGAAACAAAACCTGCGTTCGTACATTCACGAGTATTTATACATCCTCTGGATGTACTTTGGTTCCATTTATAATCAGGTGCTGTGCATATTTTGTAGACATTGGTAATATGGGAGATATATCAATACGGTAAACATTGTTGGTATGGGTACAGATAGATATGGAAAAAGTATTCTAATATGTGGTCATGGGTACAGTTAGATACGCCGAATGATTTCTGTGGGTCACCGGTGCAGATATATGATAGGCATTTCTGTGTCCTAGGATTGCTTAGTTGTCGATGCACATTTATATGTTAGAATGGACAAAATACACAGTTGTACAGGCGCTAAGGGATTGCAAAATGATTTTGTGGGCCGATTTGCACTATAGAGTTTTTGTGATCATAAAATCAGATGCACGGCTTATAAAGTCTACGCGCATGGCTGCTTAAAGGCGCTCTGAACAGTTCATTTAGGGTATGGAGATCTATGATATACATATGCATGTTTTTTATTAGGTGCTGTAAATATACTGATTGTTGACATATAGTGATGTGCTGGCGTCTTTCGTCCCTCAAAGTAGCAAACCATCTGGCAAGGAATTTATAACAACCAGTTCCATAGTTTTAGCAATAACGATAGAAGCCGTGGGCGTACAGTATATGGGCCGAGAGCGAGATGTTTTTAAGCAAACAGAGGCGTATACGACTCGAGGGCACGACTCAATTCTGTTTTTGAAACAGTGCAGTCAAGAGAATTTAGACCAAGAGACCAACTGTCGACCACCCTCTTACTTAATAACTGAGGGAACAACAATCAATCTTCCATGTCATTTGAAAAAACTAGAGATGATCAATTCGTCAATAAATGGCAGGACACATATGTTCTTCAATCATCCCAGTTTTAGCGGGTGTCAATTTTAAACATATATACTCTTAAACTATTCTCTCTAGTTCTAGGGCAAAGCCCATAGTCTTCTCTAACAACACTTCCGACTGTATGGATTCCTTCGAGATGACTTTCTCAGGCGCTTTAAACGAGTATGCAGAGCCTTCCATCGCCCAACCTCGCTGCAATTTGCGCAATTAAAGAGGAAATGAGTTTGGAAAAAGCCATGAGGGTATTCGGGAGCTTGAAAGAGACTACAAATACAACTTAAAATTTCATGTGCTGCTAGTCGATGATGCATTTGGCAGACACTAGAAACATACTTGCTCTGCAATTTCTTTCGCTGCTTTGTCGCTCTCCAGGAATAGCAACTTCTTGACATCGGCTAAAGGCAGCTGAGGGAAAGCCTGCTCGCAACACTGTGCTATCTCCAACCTGCATCATATATATATATATATATATATATATAATAAATAAATACACAATAATATATAGTAACTAATAAATAAATAAAATAATAATAAACAATACAATAAACAACACACATAATTATACATACACACATAACATATATATATATATATATATATATATAATAATAATATATATATATATCTATATAAT